TACCGAACCATCCTCCTCAGCTGACAAAGCTCAAATGAACGATATAAGATACAGTGATTAGATAAGATCCTTGGTGTTGGTCCCAAAATCACACTTTCAATTTTCCTGCAGCCAAAGTTATTCAAAAGACATCTTCCATTGGTGAACTAGATTTCCTAGAGGCGTTCCACATTCAAAAGAATCTGGTCTAGTTAACGACCCTAATTCCAATCTATCTTTGCCTTCAGCCTTTAAGAAAATTATATTTTAGTTCTTGTTTCATCAATAGATGGCGCCAGTAGCTTAACTCTTCTACAGCCATTCTTATTTTATCTAACCACTATATCTTATCTCGTTCATTTGCGCTTTGGCAGCTGAGGACGATGATTCGGTAAAAAAACCATCGAAACTAGTCCTGTGAAAATTTGCAAATATATAGCTGATTTCTTAAAATAATTTCGTACTTATAAATTAATACTTGTTCGGAGTGTTATTTTATCTTAATTATTTCATTTATTATTTAAATAATTTTATAAATTTAAAAATTTCCAGACATACTTACATCTTGAAGTTGGAGATCAGGGTATGCAATTATTTTCTCGGATATTCTCACTTGCTCATATTGAGTCCTATTATATTTGCTGTGAGCTCCGAGATGAATTTTGATGTAGCCGGGGTAAGGCCTCCTGTTCAAAAAGTTCAATAATAAAATGGGGAAGATGATCTTCCATAACTGAGGAATATTCATGTTAGTGTAACATATTTATTGGTTCAAAAACTGTACTTAATGATGGAAGCATATAATGAATGACTTAATTAATTTTAATTTTAATTGAATTTTATGCATAACTTACTATTTTTCGAGAAGAATTCTAGTAGGATTTATTTGAGTCATTGCGTTCATGAAACATAATTTATGGGGTACGACAAAAACTGTGGTAAGTGATTTCTCTGTCATTTCAAAAATTCATTCAATTAACGTAATCAGAATTTTCCATGACTATGATAATTTAGAAACTAAAAATTTAGTTAAAATGTAAAAAGACACAAAAAAAAGGTACTGTTCTGTTATCAAGACCGGAGTCGTCGCCAAATGTTTTGCTAAACTCGCCAAGATATTGGTTCACATAAAGTCGCCAGTGTTTGCTTTTAAAATCGCTACAATATTTAATTTTTTAAAAAGAAAAAGAATGCCTTTTCAAAATTGGTAACGGAAATATGAAGTTTGAAGATGTCACTATCATTTCTGTTTTTTATTATTATTTTATTTACCTTGGATGTAAAAATTTGGGACTTACCTAATGATGAAATATCTTTAGGAACCAATGATTATTTATTCACTCTGAAAGAAAATACACAAAGATTCATAAAATGAAGCTCTACTTCAATTCTGTTACGAAATGCCCAGCCGCGGTAAGATACCTTTCTCGAAAAACGTGTTTAGGGTTGCCAGAAAATGGCAAATAAATGCAGGGTTGCCAGATTTGGCGCGAAGTTGCGCATTTGGGGACAAAATTGGCAATATGCCATAGATGGAGCGAAAACATTCTATAGAACGAATTTTTACCGGTTTGCTCAAAATGTTTTCGAAGTCAGGTCAAAAGCCATATAAACCCTGTCTATACGCTGAGTAGTAGGGTATTGTGAGTCTTATTGTGGTTGGTTTCGTTTATTTAATTACGGCAAAGCACACGAGGGCTGTCTGCCTAAGGGGAGGGATGCCTTCGTGGAGGACTTTGTAAGAGAAACTGGCTCGTATACACGTTACACATGGAGAAAAAACGCCCATGCAGCCAGACCGTTCGCGGGATTCGAACCTCGGACCGAAATACCAGTGTTCAACGACTTTACCGCTCGGCCGCTGGTGGGGTGAGTTTTATTGTGAAAAAGTATCTTGAGCGCATTGAAGCTCTGAGAGCGATCGCGAACGAGTCGGGAGCTGTATTTAGCGTTTTGCCGTGAAGTTGTCCTCACCGTTATAACCTGAAGGCTGTGCTGATGATTGTTTCAGCTTATTTGTCGTAGTTTTTCGACGACTGTAACGCGTGTTTGCATTTGTCTTCCGTAATATTGACAAATAAATTGCGTTTTGATTCTTTATCATGTGTGGCCCACCAGCGGCCGAGTGGTAAAGTCGCTGAACACTGGTAGTTCGGACCGAGTTTCGAATCCCGCGAACGGGCTGGCTGCATGGGTGTTTTCGTTGTTTTTCTCCATGTGTAACATGTATACGAGCCAGTTTCCCTTAGAAAGTCCTCCACGAAAGGCATCCCTCCCCTTAGGCAGTAGCCCTCGAGGCTTTGTCGTAATTAAATAACCTAACCTAACCTTTATCAAGTGTTGTCATCAATCACTCCAAATCTAAGAACGCGTAGAATTGGAAGGAAACCTCGAAATGGAGATATGAAGCTATGACTTGCCGCAAAAAAAAAAAAAGGATTACGTTCTCAAAATGAGTTTGAAGGATTGAGAATCAGTTTCTCAACGGCAATTCGTTTCATTATGAATGGTGTTTAGAATTAACTTCCATTTAATTTTGTCAGTATCACCTTTATATGGATCATTGCACTGTGGTTGACTGGAAAAATTATGGTTTGGTTTGTTTACTTACATTTAGTTGACACGTACCCAATAATTATTTAAACTTATCAATTACAAAATTTCTTGACTCCTCCACAGGTTCAATATTTAAGTCATTTCATTCACCTTAGGTTAGGTTATTCAATTACGGCAATGCACACTAGGGCTATCTGCCTAAGGAGAGGGATGCCTTCGTGGAGGGCTTCCTAAGGGAAACTGGATCGTATACACGTTACACATGGTAAAAACCATGAGTACGCCCATGCAGTCAGCCCGTTCGCGGGATTCGAACCTCGGAGCGAAATACCAGTGTTCAGCGACTTTACCGCTCGGCCGCTGGTGGCCCCGGAAAAAATTATGTAAGAGAAGTCTGTGACCATGCAGTAATGTCTAGACCGCTAGTTAAAATAAGCGGCACTAATAATATTGTCGAAGTTAATGAAAATATGTGTTTGCGTCTAAAAAGCAAAGTTGGTCGTATCCTACCGCCCCAGTGGGTGCGCGGAGGGATTTTCCGCGAAACAAAATATTGATATTTAGTTGCTGTGAGTAACCGCTGTGCCATAACTTTGCTTAAATTTATTGAAGAAAATATTATTCATGACATTATAGGAAAAGATATAACACTGAAGAATAACAAGAGGCTGGATTTGACCATTACTGCATTAACCCTCTGCGGCACAGTGTGTCCGGTCTGGACACACCTAAAAATTTCCTTCTGTACGCACAGAAAAATTGAATGGAAAAGGATTTATACGTTACTCTGAACCTTCTTTATTTATAGTAGATGGCAGCTCAACACAAACTAGTCCATATATTTTAGCTATGTTTAGTTTTTTAAGACCCTCATTTTTCAAAGAAATCTTCCAGATTTTTTTAGGGTATAAAAGGAATTGTTTGAAAACAAATTTCTATGTTATTTTTTGAATGTATGCTAATCTCCTTATTCTATATTAGTTTTAAATTTTTTCCTTGAAATCTTGCTTAAAATCAAATGTCGAACCCTAAGTGTGCCCAGACAGGGCTCACCGATCATCTAGGACAACTGAGAGTCTGTATTCTTTGTTTCTCCGCATCTCATCGGTCAGTTCATTTCGATACTGGTTGTCGCACGTAAACTGTGGAAAGGTTATAGCGCAGTGAGAAACTGCGAACTGAACTTCAACAAGGCAGTGACCGTAATCAATTAGATTCTTATTCAATTGAGTTTATGTGGAGGCATCAACGCCTTAAATTGTAAATATTTCAGATATTTTAAATGATATCCGCAGTTTCTTGCCTCCAGTTAATCTTAATTAATCGAATTTGCCTTTTTCCTCCTGAATTTTTGGGCAAGTTATTCACTTTACATTAAAAATTCCTTTACGAATATCGTCTGCTATTTTGGCGATTATTTTTATGCTTCGAATTTTTCTCCGGATCGTCAGCTTTTGGCAATATTTGAATCTGCTCCCGATAACAGAACAGTACCCTCCCCCGCAAAGAAAGAAAAAGAAAAAAGAAAAAAAAAAAAAAAAAACTTTCTTAAAACTTTGTGTGTGCCTTTCGTTCGCGCTGCGCGTAAGCTAATAGACCCACGGCTACGAAATTTGGTACATAGGTGCATCTAGACAAGAGCTAGTGCACCTCGAAGCGATTTTTTCGAAATTCGAATTCGAATATTTTTTATTTTATGTTTTGTGACGAAATCGCGTCATTTTGAGACATAATGGGCTATAGAAAAGCGATATTTTACTCTACACACTCCATTTTCACATCGTCATGAAACGTAAGCACTTAGCTATTTTACGAACTTAAAATAAATTTCGTGTTTTAATAAATTGATTCAATACGAATTTATTTAACAAAGGGAGCTTAACACCTTTCAACTGGGTTTTTTTTTTTTCTAAAAACGTTTATTTTTAAAAATGTACAGTTTATTTTTCTTTGATTTTTGGACACGTTAAACTTTCATCCTTACGACTGCTTTTACAAAAAGAATTTTGAAAAATGATAATATTTTGTATTTTTAAAAAAATATTTAAATGAAGCTTCCGAGTACACTTCTATTAGGAGATAGTATTTTATACTTATTTATTTCATATCATAAACATGAAGTATAGAACAAGCAAAAGAACATTTATAAATAAAAAAACGTAAGTGATGCCATTCACAAAAAGGGTAATGTTATTTTTAATAGTTCGCTGGCTTTGCCGCAACATCCTCCCCACCCTGGTCAACCTCCAGGGGGATAACCAGCTGCACAGGTCGGGTAATGGTATGTCCATTGGTGCGCAGAACACAAGTACGGACTCTTTTGTCGCGGCCAAGGATTAGCTCCTCAACACGGCCCTTCTTCCAGGTGTGGCGAGGTCTAACATCTTGTAGTAGGACAATGCCCCCTTTCCGTATTTTATTTGTTTCAGATGGATTCCGCACTTGATGAAATGTACGCAAGTCCATCAAATATTCCTTTTGCCATCTTTTCCAAAAGAGTCCATCAAATGTTGACGATTTTTCCACATATGATTTAAATTTGTTTCAGGATTTGTGGGGCTGGAAGGAATAATGGTTAATTTCTTTCCTATGAGGAAGTGCGAGGGTGTTAAAGCTTCCTCAGAGTCATCTTTTATTCCATATTCGTGGACAATCGGTCTACTGTTAAGAGCGGCTTCAATATCACATAATACAGTGATCAAACGAGCGTCATCCAAAAGAGCCTTACCTAATGTTTTCCGAAGGCATCGCTTAATTGAGCCAATCATTCTTTCCCACCATCCTCCCCACCAAGCCGCTCGGGGGGCGATGAATTTCCATTTGATGTTGTGGTGGGCATAAAACTGTTGTGCCTTGGCAGAGGATATAGTATCCCACAATAACTTCAGCTCTTTGTCCGCAGCGCAGAAAGTTATGGCATTATCAGTGTACACTGTATGAGGAAGTGAACGTCTAGAGACAAAACGTTGTAATGCAAGTAGGAAGACGTCAGTACGCAGATCGGAAACTAATTCTAAGTGGATAGCTCGAGTTGTAGCACATGTGAAGATGACAATGTAGGCTTTTGTAACGGAGTTATTATTTTTCATGTAGAGTGGTCCAGCAAAATCAATTCCGGTAGTTTCGAAAGGAGATGACTTTTGAATTCGCTCAGCTGGTAGTGGAGTTTCTATCTGTTCACTTCTCTTTTGTTTCAGTACTTTACATGGAAGGCAAGTCTTTATCACTTTTTAATGGCTTGTCTTGCTCTTAATATCCAGTATTCTGAACGAAGCTGAGAAAGTACAATCCGAACACCGAGATGATGCATTCGTAAATGTGTTTGGCGTATCAGTAGGCTTGTAAAAGGATGAGAACCTTCCAATAATATGGGATGTTTTTCAGCATGAGATAAATCAGAAAATTTTAGTCGACCACCAAGAAGTATAATATTGTTCTTGAAAAAAGTGGTTAAATTGTTTTATCCTTGATTTCTTAGCTTAGGCGTGATTTTCCTGTCAACAGAGCTTCATATTCTGAAGGAAAGGATTCTTTCTGAACGGTCTGTATCCAATAAATACGAGCTTGATTCAATTCTGTGGCATGTAACTCACCCACTAACTTTTTTTGTTTCCTACAGTTGTGAATAAAGCGAAGAATCCAAGATGTTACACGTAACAATCGAACGTAAGAACTGTAGTTTCCAGCCTTTATGATTGGTTGAGTAGATACGATGTGAAGGGTCTGAACTTTTTCTTTCTTTGCCTCGAAGTTATGACTGAAATCTTGAGAAATAGTTTCAGAATGAGGCCAATATTCTAGAGATTTGACTAACCATGGAGGGCCGTTCCACCAAATTTACCAGGTTTTTTAGTGTTGATGGTGAAACACCTCGAGAAAGTTTGTCAGCTGGATTTTCTTTGCCAGGGCAGTGTCTCCATTGTGAAGGATTGGTATAGGAAATAATTTCTGTTACTCTGTTACAATGGAAAGTTTTCCATTTGTTGGGGTCACTGCGTATCCACCCTAAGACAACTTGAGAATCACTCCACAATGTTGCATTTGACGAACAGATGTTTGTTTCAGCACAGAAATATTGCAACAATCGTACTCCCATCAGGGCGGCCAAGAGCTCCAAACGAGGTAAGGTAACTTTATTTATAGGAGCTAGTTTGTTGCGACTACACACTAAATTCACATTCGATTGGTTACCTTTAAAGGTAACAATGTAGAGAACTGAACCATAGGCACGTTCAGATGCGTCACAAAACACATGAATAGCAAAAGGAACATGTGATGAAATCCCTGTGCATCGAGGAATTTGAAGGGAGCAAATGTCATCAAGTTCTTTCACAGCTGCATACCATAAAGTTCATAAATTAGCAGGGAGTAATTCATCCCACTTGATTCCAAGAATCCATGTATCTTGGAATAAGATTTTCCCAAGAATAGTAAACGGTGAAAAAAGGCCTAAGGGATCATAAAAACTAGCAATGCAGCGGAGTAACCATCTCTTTGTAAGTGGTTTGTCTGTAAAAACACAGTGGGAAGTCTTGAATGCATGCTTCAAAGTATCAGAAATTGTATTCCAGCCAATATCTAAGACAGTTGTTTCCGTTTTGTGAGATTCTTCATGTGTTTGTAGTACATCTTTGAGTTTCAAAGAGTTTGTAGCCCATTTTTCCATAGGCAATTTTATTAGAGCCATTAAATTCTTGATCTCGTGATATAGCATTATAATTCGTGATTCAGTTTCAATACTAGCAAGAAAGTCATCCATATAGAGATGTTTATCTATCATTGGTGCAGCAATTGGAAATTCTGCGATATGTTTTGCAGCCAATTCTCGTGTCGCAGCACAGAGTAAAAACGGACTGCAAGTAAGGCCAAATGGTAAACGAGTAAATCTGTAAACAGTTATTTCATCTGTAAAATTAGTAGGTTGAGATGAATCAGATTTTAATTTGTACCGGACAAATTTTGTGACGTCCCTATCTTCTTTATGTAGTGACAACTGTAAAAAAGCTTGCTTACCATCACATGTAACAGCGAATTCATGCAATCGAAATCTTAGTAGACAACCAATAGATTCAGGAAGAAGATTCGGGCCAGCTTCCAAGGTATCGTTCAGTGAAATCATTCCTGGAGCATGCGAGGAAGCATCAAACACAATTCTCCACTTGGTTTCAGATTGCGTGTTTTCTTTCTTACAGCATGATGAGGAAGGTAATATATACTGGCTTCTCATTGGATTCATCTATGGAACAAACTTCAACATGCTTTTGTTCAATGTAATTCAGCATGCAGTTTGTCATATTGTGTCTTTAACACATCACTAGATGCAAGTCTTTTTTGAAGAGAATGAAATCTGTTTTCCGCTATAATTTTGTTTGTAGGCAAAGGTGTGTGACCAATGGTTTTCTAGGCAGAGACACAATTCTTCGATTGTCTTCAGTGTTGTAAGTTTTGTGAAATTCTGATAAAATTTCTTCTTCATCTCGAGTAGTCATTCTTTTTCGTTTCTGCGCATCTTGTATCCCTATGGAGTCTAATTCCCAGAAGCGACGTACCTGATCATTTAAACAATCAGTTTTAACTTGCACACAAACTTGATGGACAGAAGTCTTCTCAGCGATTGTAGTATGTGTTCTTGTTCCACTAAGAACCCATCCAAACACTGACGGTACCATAACAAAAGATTCTGAAAGCTTGATTGGAGCTTCTGTGGAAACAATTTGCCAATAATGATCACCACCAATAAGTATTTCTATGGGCAGTGAAGAGTCATCCGGAGGATCAGCAATTCTCAATCTTTTCTTCTGAGCAAAGTGAACTATTTCTGGTGGAGCAGTAGGATGTGTAGTATAGGAATTGGAGCTTTCAAATGCGGAGATCAAAAATGCTTGGTTGCTCCACAAACTTGAAAGTGACAGTTGAACACATCTACGTTGTTCTTGTGAAGTAAAAGATTCAAATGCTTGAACTGAAAGTGAGGCAGAACTGACAACTTTAAGCTTCAGTTTTTCAATGAGGTTTGTGTGAACAAAACTTGCTTGGCTACCACCATCTAAAATGCAACGTGTTAATTTAGTAATGCCTGTGGGGCCAGTAACGTACACACGAGCAGTTTGCAAATGTGTGAAAATTGTTTTAGGAAAGGTTATGTGATTTACAGCACTGTTAGTTATCCGCAGTTGATTGTTTTCAACAGGAGGACAAATAGAAACATGATGCCTTTTCTTGCATTTAGTGCACCGTGCAGTATTTTTTCTTGGGCAGTTTGAAACTCTATGACCACGGTTAGTACACAGAAAGCAGCGATTTGAAGTTTTAAGTTTCTGAACACGAGTATCATAGTCTGTAACAGTTTCACAATATTGAGGCCAATGTCCTGTAGTATCACAAAATGAACAAAATGGTGAAATTTTCTTACGTTTGTTTACTGTTTTGGAATTGATATTAAAATTTTCTACAGTGCACTTTACGGTGTGATCAGAAAAAGACGTACCTTTAACTCTTTGTGCTGCAACTACACCTTCCACTTCTTCTGCCAAGAACTGCATCAATCTAGTAATATTACCTTCGTTTAGTTTTTCACGCTTGGCATAGATAATCCAGCGGCAACAAATATCATTGGGGAATGCACGAATAATTTTTGGCACTAGGATTCTACCGTATGCTTCAATATTTTCACCCAGAGCAGTTAAAGCTTGAATTCTTCTGTTACATTCTATGTAAAGATCATTTAGATGCGTAGGAGATGGGTCTTGAATAACATTTAAATGTTCTAAGTAATCTAAGTGTGATTGGATAATTCGATCTTTATTTCCATATCTTTCCTCCAACAATTTTTTTGTTGTTTCATAGGTGTCTCCTATTACACTAATTCCATCAACAAGGCGTTTAGCTTCACCATCTAAATAACCTCTGAGGAAAACATGTTTATCAATAACAGAAGAAAGATGTGGATTGGCATCTATAGAAGATTTAAACTGTTCCCAAAAACATTGCCACTGTTCAATTTCTCCTGTAAATGACTTGTAGTTTAATTGTTGGCAATTTAACTGTATATGGTTGAGTCATAGGCACTGTAGTAGGAAGGGTCGCCAAATGTCATCGCTAAATCATTGGTATCCATATTCGAAGCAGTAACATTATTTGCAGTTGGCGATAATTTATTTTGAATAATTTTTCGTGCTTTGAAAATTGCGGATTCACCAGTATCTATGTAGTTTTCACACTGCAAATTATCACTTTCATATTCATCGTCAGAAAGGAAGTTGTGAATTTCGTTATCTATTAGTTTCATATCATTTAAAGCAGTTGTTAAGCGATTACAAATATATTCAACTTTCTCAATTGAGAAATCATCGTTCAAAGTATCAATTTCAGTAGAAAAAGCAAGAAACATTACTTCGCACGGCTTTCCGCTTTCGTTTCAGTTGCGTCATTTTGTCTACAGCTTCACCGGTCGGCGCCATTGCCCGAGTAGTAGAAAAGAACAAAAACAAAACTAAGTTTTAATGTCGGAAGTAAAATATTTCAGCAAGAATAATCCAACAGTAGGAAGTATAAGTTCAAGGTCCTGTTTCGTAAATGGTTTTTTCGGCACCAGATATTAGGAGATAGTATTTTATACTTATTTATTTCCTATCATAAACATGAAGTATAGAACAAGCAAAAGAACATCTATAAATAAAAAAACGTAAGTGATGCCATTCACAAAAAAGGTAATGTTATTTTTAATAGTTCGCTGGCTTTGCCGCAACAACTTCTCACATCTCGCATCTTTAAAAATGTGTTTGGCAATAATTTTCTTATTGTTGCTGATAGATTTTGGATGAAATCGCATCACTTTGAATAGTATCATTCTTTTAGAAATATGGGTTTAGCAACAATTTTTCATCGTATTTCTTATGTCACTGTTTTTAAGAGATTGGCATATTTCATTTTCATTTATATATATATATATATAATACATTTTATTGATTTTTTCTTTTGATAAAGTTGTTCTATAGAGTAAAACTTTGCGCGGAATTTTTTTGTTTTTTGAGTTTCTTTCATGTTATTTTTTGCTTATTTCACTGTTTGTAAGATATTGAAAAGTTTTGCATAATATTTTTTCTTCAACGGAAAGTTGGTTAATTTTTTTATATGTAATGTATTTTTTAAAAAATTTGTGGATTTTTTTCGGAAGTTTTCTGCAGAGTAAAATTCTGCGCAGTTTTTAAATTTAACGGTGTTCCCTTCAGGCATTTTTTACGGTACGTTTAAAAGCCAGACGATGGCTGGCAGCGTAGCTGCTAGTTTGTTAATAAAAACGTTGGAACTTGGATTACAACATAAAGATAAAAATTTCAGGCTGAAAGATTTGGCGGAAATACTTTGTTCCTGAATATTTTCTTTTAAATTTAATGCTAATTGCATTCACCTTTTTTTTATTTATGTTCTTTATTTATTCATATTTCTATATGAACTCTGGCTACACCTATTACAGAGATCTGTACCTATTACAGAGTTCCTTGATGAAAAACACGTTGGCATTATAACGAAAATATGTATAAAAACTCTGTATACAATTTTCGCTTGGTTAATTTGTTAGAATTACTTACCCTGCGAAACAATGAGTGGCTGTTACAATCCACTGCGCGTTTATGAGAGCACCTCCACAGAAATGACCATTAGGTTCGCTGTATGCATCTTGAAGAGATACTTGCCATGACCAGCTGTTGGGGATCACTGGTTCACCACCTACGATATGATCTAGAGAACTATCTGGCGAATTCCAGATCGTTTTCGGTTTGATGGGCGGATTACCACACTCCTTTGGAAATTTAACTATAGGAAAATCTAAAAATAAATAAATAAATAAAAAAATAAAAAAAAAAAAAAACTGATGTGTACACCACATGATTTCCTTGTACGGAATATTAAATTATACGCATTTTTTCTTGCATTTCATTTAAACTTATTGGATTGAATTAAATCTACTTCGCCGACAGCGCATAAACCACAATAGATTAAATGCATTCTTTAAAATTCACTCACTTTACCATAGCGAGACTCTGGCGCTATATACACTTAACAGTTTTATATTTTGTTCATATTATAACTCAGAATGCATAAAATTTACATCATTTAAAGAATTATCTAATCGTTGCCACGTGTCCTATTCAAATACTATAATGAAGCTAGAACGATGTATAAAAGAAATCAAGCAAACAAAACAAAAAAGTAACAGTTTTTCACAGACGATTGAGTATTTCTCATTCAATTAATTCAGTTCTCACTTCGCGACAACGCAAAAATACATAAAAACTCAAAATATCTGTATTAAAAATTACGAAGTAAATTTTAAACACTTATTTCCTTGAAAACATTCCAGAAAGGATTAAGCATGATTTAATTCGCAATAATAAATGAAGGCGTTATCTTTGCTTTTTGCGAAGCTAAGTTTCTCTAGATTGACAACAAACCCACTATCGTGCAGTTCGTGCAGTTTCAAATGTAAACAAGCAATGGCAGCCATCAAAAAAATGATTAGGCTTAGCGGCAATTAAACAACTTTAAAATTGTTGATAATTCTAAAAATATTGCCTACAGATTTACTAAAGGCATAAAAACCTTAACTGGAATATAAGAACAACATAATTCAATCATTTTTAAAGCAAAAAATGCACAATTTACAAACATATAAGAGTAAAGAAACTGAGATCACTGAGCCGGGTAACAGAGTGGATATATAGATAAATATATACCTTTGGTGCGGCCGATTGTTTTATATACGTTTGGTGCGGCCGATTGCATCCAAAATATGAGGTGCACATCTACATGTTATAGCAGTCCTATATACAAAATTTCAACGTTCTGAGGCTACTCGTTTTTGAGTTATGCGTTAATACGTTCGTACAGCCGCCACGAAAAATTACCTTCAGAATTCATTTTAAAGCAGTTTTATAATTTTTTTGGATGAAACGAGTCTTTTATTCTGTCCTTACGTACAGATATCACACTAAAACATAGTTAAATTGCATTCGATAGCTGTCAAAATGGATATTTTCGTTGAAATATGCTGCCTGAAACATTTCACGATTACAATACTTCCTTTTTGCTTCATACAAGGAAGTAAAAAGTGTCGGTAATTCATTAAAGTGTCAGTAAATATACTTCATTCTCACTCAGTTGGCGCTTCATTGCAAATGCCTAACACAAACAAAAGTAAATGCTATATCTTTCAGCCATGCTGGTGGATTTGGCCACATTCATATATAGAGGTCTACTTTATCGGTAGTAGAGATTATTTAACTATTGACTGTCAGAGCCATTATCTTGCGACTTGTTTATATGCGTTTTCTCTCTTTTAGAACGCGGTTAGGTTAGTTAAGATTTCAGAGCCTCGTAGGTAGTGATCTAGTTATTTATTCATCCAGTCATTATTTTTTAGTTTCACATTTCCGTTTTTGTTAAAACGCCGGGTCGGCGTAGTTTGTGAGCGTCAAGTGAACGCAGCTGTTATTTCTAAAGTGGAATAAAAAGGGCTTTAAACCCTCCTTACGTGTTTGTGTAAATTCAACTTCGTAGCAGTCACTACCACAATTACTGACAAGTTGGGGCCACACGACACTACATTGGCGCCCGAACATCTTACGAACTCTGATGGCCGAAAATTGGATGGAAGCTCCCGTATAACTCCAACAGCAAGAAATGGCGAACCAGTTAGAAGGGTTTGGATACCTGGTCCAAACGATAATAGCATCTATCAAGCCAACCGTCTATTTCGACGGAAAAAATTCGGTGGCGATATTCTTAGAAGGCCTCAAAAGTCACATCCAGTTATATCTTGTGCCTGAAAGACAAGCAGTTGCCATTGCCACGTCTGCACTAAGAGGACAGGCTTCACTATGGTGGAAGAGTATAGGGAAATTTTTATTAGGAGAATTCGGAGGCCAAACATATACCTTTGAAAATTTAAAAATATCATTATTAAAGGCCTTCCCCATAGTGAAAGACCGAGCAAAGCTAGAAGCCGAACTTTATAGTTTTTATCAACGTAATATTGAAGACTTGACGGACTTTATTCTGCGAAAAGTTAAGCTGACAGACATGCTGTATGGAAAGAAACCCGACACAGAGGTAATTGAAATAATTTCACCAAGATTGCTACCCGCTGCCCAAGATTACTTGGAAATCCGAAATCCAAGCACCTTGCAGGAACTCTTCGAGTTCGCGGTCAGGTTCCAAAACCGAAGAATAGTGGGAAAATCTAGAGGGGCATCGTATTATCAAGGTCCCTGAAGGCAATTCTCAAATCAATAGACCGGTAACACAAATCGCCCTTATGGGGAAAAGAGGTATCAAGCCAACTCATCGAAGCTCGAAGGTCAAGGCGCAAAAAGGAAATTTGAAAACAACCGTCCGCGTACCCAAAAGGCTGAAGTTGAAAAGAAAGCTTTAAACGATTAGAGGGGCCTGTAAAAGCGAGGGTCCAGACCCCGGAAGTTTCGAAAAAACCCTCAAGAAGATACCTAAACATGGTCGTGGTAAAGATTTCACAGTTACCAATTGTACAAGTCCTGGTTGGCGATGTACCAGTGGAAGCCCTCATTGATACAGGGGCAGAAGGTAATTTTATGAGTGATAAATTTTTCAAGAATTTTAATAGGTTACGGTTATTTAAAAATAAAAACACAGATATTATAGCAGCCGAAGGAAAAACCTATCAATGGAAATTATCATTAAAAATACAGATAAAAGATGAGAGTCTTAAAGTTTAATTTTTGTAGTGAAAAATTTACAGAATCCAGTCATCTTAGGCATGGAGTTCTTAAAGGCCGCGAAAGCCAAGCTCAATTTTCTGGATAATTCGATCATGATGGAAATGGATCGGAGGGTAGTGGAACCAGTGAAAGATACCTAAACATGGTCGTGGTAAAGAATTCACAGTTACCAATTGTACAAGTCCTGGTTGGCGATGTACCAGTGGAAGCCCTCATTGATACAGGGGCAGAAGGTAATTTTATGAGTGATAAATTTTTCAAGAAGAATTTTAATAGGTTACGGTTATTTAAAAATAAAAACACAGATATTATAGCAGCCGAAGGAAAAACCTATCAATGGAAATTATCATTAAAAATACAGATAAAAGATGAGAGTCTTAAAGTTTAATTTTTGTAGTGAAAAATTTACAGAATCCAGTCATCTTAGGCATGGAGTTCTTAAAGGCCGCGAAAGCCAAGCTCAATTTTCTGGATAATTCGATCATGATGGAAATGGATCGGAGGGTAGTGGAGCCAGTGAAAGAACCTCAGGTAGACTTGAGCCATTTGAGTGTCCATGAAAGCCAAGCCATCCAGCAAGTGGTGAGTAGTTTTTCAAACTTGTTTTCAGAACGGCCTGGTAACTGTCAAATTCTAACACATGATATACAACTAACTGCCGATAAACCCTGTAGGACTAAACCCTACAGGTATGATCAACAGAAAGAACAAATTATTGAGAACACATTAAGGAAATGCTGCAGAACCAAATAATAACGCCCATAAATAGTGAGTACGTGAGTCCAGTCGTACTATGTAGGAAAAAGACCGATTTCCCTCCTTCGGATAAAAGGGCTTGGAAATTTGCTATCGATTACAGAAAACTCAATAGTATTACTAAGTTCCCGGTTTACCCTTGCCGGTTATAGAGGAAATTATTAGAAAGATTGAGTCTACGAGATACACGACTACGTTGGACTTAACGTCTGGCTACTATCAAATAGCAATGAGACCAGAAGATAGACGTAAAACCGCGTTTATCACAAAAGCGGGCACTTATGCATTTTTACGCATGCCCTTGTAAGGATCTTAAGTTTTACTAACGTTTATTTTATTTTAAATCTTTACTATCACTTCTTATTTTCTACTTCCGGCCAGAATTATAAGCGTTAAATTATATATGCAAAGTTTGTCTGGCGAACGCCAAGTATTTAAGTTGTGGCTTTTTGCCAAGCGAGAGAGAGGAAGCAGTGAGTCGAAGCAGGCCGCTTACCTTAGAAGTTTTACTCAGTTGCTGGTTGCCGTCCAGGCCAGAGGTTTTAATCCTCTTGATAAATTTTAAACGTATTGTAGGGTTCACAGTTCTCTGTACTACATACGCTTCCTGTTAATATAAGGCCAATCTTCCACGTTTATTATTTTAAAGTTAACTTAGAGTTTAGTTCTATTTTTATATTTTTACGTTAGACCCCAAGCAGCGGGTCTGTGTATTCCGAAGTACGGAAGTTATTGTAAATAGAGAAAAATAAAGGGTTTTGTATACCCTTCTTGTGTATCCTGTTTACTTCCCACAGTTTTGAACATAGCTTTAGTAAGCTCTCTGTTCCGAGTCAGGTCCTTGCATGTTCCCGAAGAAGGTAAGAAGGAACATTGAACCTGATAGTGGCGCCCAACGAAGAAGAATAACCATGGCCGAGTTTCAAGAAGAACCTGTGCTGCCTGCAGAAGCGGCTCAGAATCCAGAAATGCCAGCTGCCGCCCTGGAAGGATTTGGTTACATCGTCCAGACCATGCGCGCTTCGATGAAACCAGAAGCAACATTTAATGGAAACTCACCGGTAACCAGTTTTTTTGGAAAAATTGGATGACCACTTCATGCTCTACCCCGTGCACGAATTTCAAAAAGTTACCTTAGCTACCAGCGCTTTGAGGGGCCAAGCGCTTAACTGGTTCAAATGTATAGGCAGAAGTCTCTTGGGTCAAGCAGGAAGTCCCACCTATACTTAACGAGAATTTCAAGACTGCCCTACTAAAAGCCTTCCCTGTTGTAAGGGATCGTGCGAAATTAGAAACGGAACTTTTTAGTATATATCA